TTAACAGTTCCACTCTTTTGGCCTTTGAATCTGATCATTAAAGAAAACATACAAGATTCAAGTTACTTTCAAAGTGTAGATATTACTTTATAATTTGAGAAACCATCATAAAACTTTGTTTCTTTTGTTCACGAGTTTACGTGTTTCGTTCTTATTTTGCGATTTTTAATTTGGTTCCTCCACTTTTGAGACGTTTTGCCGTGTAATTTAGTCAAACTTGCGAGAGCTGTTAAGTCTTCCTTAATCCTATTGAATGTTTCTAATATTTTCCACATGAATTTATTATCTTACACAATTTTAAAACTTTTGAATATTATGAGTTTCTGTAAACAGTTTGTTATCTAAAACTTATCATTTTTCAAGAACATTGGAGTGGTGGCACCTAGTTTAGACGATGATTGATGAGTACTAAACTTTTTTCTTATACAGTTTGATTTTTTTTGTTTAGGTTGTTAAACGGTCTCTGTAAACAATTTGTTATCTCAAACTTATCATTTTCCTATACTTGTTATCTCAAACTTATTAGTTAAAATAAGTTTTTTTTTTTGTAAATTTCGTTGGTTCAAAATTAACAATTCATTAACTTATCTGATGTGAATATTGATGATTAAATCCACAAAATTTACTCTTTTAACATTTTTTTTCAAATTTTTGTTGGGCGTTGGCTTTAAGAGAAAGCATTGAAGCAGCTCTAAACATAAGAGCTAAAAAGGAGAGGAGGAATCGGCATTCGAATTTCTCTGCCCAACATCTTGTAAATAATGTTAGTAAAACTGAAAACTTCCACGACGTAATGAGAAAATACGACGCAATGTCAAAATATTTGGTGAATGGAGGTATTGTTACCGAGAACAAGCTTGAGCAATACCTTGCCCAGAAACAAAAAAGGGGGAGGTTCTGTCTTTAATGGCGGAACGTCGACGAAGAAATCCTCCGGCGGAGGAGGAGAGGTGGATCATGCCGGTCCATTTCCAATTAGACCGTAGACGCAGACGCAAACAAAACTGACGCAACGTTCGGTTGCAGACGCAGGTAAACTGATTTCATTCTCGTAGCGCAACTGA